TGTCTGCATTCTGGAGCTTCAACTGCGATAATCACAGAACAGAATTATATCACCTATGTTCACTTCCTGAAAAAGACCCAAAATGAATCTCTCCTTGTAGAAATCTATAAATTTTCAAGTAGATGAGTGATGATAAGAAAGAGAAATATGAAGTAGGGACTATTGATTCACTTAACATCAAATGATCACAGTTAACCCTTTAACTCTCAAGATCTGATTGTTAATTCTCCCCAGTAGCTGCTACACATTTCCTTTTAAATTAGTTATGAGAACTTGGTGCTAGATCAAGATAGCAGCTTCCATCTGATTTCGTTTGAATATTCTCTCATTACCTGTTTACTGAAGAATGTATGGATATTGTAAAGAGAATTTTTATGTTAATCACGTCTAGGAATTAAAGGATTAAACACAAAAGCTTTGTATGGAAGATGGTTCAACAAACCATTATGTCAATTTCTTGCTTGCAGATTGCTAAGTCATGCTTATTGTTGACTGAGATCCGTTTGAGAGCATGTTTCTTTCCACTGGGAACTCTCACAAGGAACACCAAGGAAAATCCTCCTAGAAAAGAGAAAAAGGCAATAAGTAAACACGAGCAATTTATCCTCTGTTTTCCCACAAAATAGCAATCAAAATTAAAAATTGTTCTCTGGATTAATTTATAAACTATGATTATCACTATGCTGTCACTATCTGAGTCATGATCACACTGAAGACTTTTTCCACTTTTCCAATGTTAATGGAAGCACTAATTATTTTGTGGGTCTGTGCTCTATCATTGCATTTTCTACCCTATGCAACACATTTCTCATCTTGTACCCAAAATCTTGCCATTCGAATATCATTTTGCTCAATTTTATCTCCAAAGTTCTAACCCCAAATTGTTAAACCCATCTTGACTAATTTTATATCATTTACCTCCCCTTATCCGCTAAACTGCAGGGCAACTGCTTTCACAATTGTTTACTGTCAGTATAATTATATAATGGTAGGTAGTAAACGGTGATTCTGGACCAATTAAGTGGCGAAAATCAAATAAATCATGCGAAAGAGAGTATAGGAAGAGAGTTATAAAAATCTCCATCATGACATTTTCACTCACATCCAGTGCGTGGTTCTATTTTAAGAAATGTGATGTGGAAACTTTTCGTTCTTAAAACCTGTTGGATGTGATGGTGGAATTTCAAGCTTAAATAACCAACGACTCAAAAACGAGAAGTAATTTTTTTCAGATGAAAGAATTGCGTCGACTTTTTCATAACAAAATAGCTCGATCGAATTCTCCCTGAGGCAAAATTCTTTAAAGTTTTACAGTTAATGGATCGGCCCATGAAAGTGTACGTAAAATGAGCTGTGAGGTGAGTATTATTATCCAAAACAAAGGCAGTTAAGCTCACTAATCTGTCATAGTTTAAAATACTTCAAGGATAGACTCGCTCCTGGCAACTGACTCTACTTTGCCAAAACTCATTGCACAACTTACTTAACAACCAGGATATGTCTAAAAAAGAGAAAACTGAAACAAATACCTTCGGCGATGACTTCTTCGACGATGCACTGACATCGTCCCACCACCAAAGTCTTGCCAACAAAACTACTTTGATGGTCGTTCCCTCCTCCCGACGAGAAAAATTTCTTCATCATTTAGATCTCTCAAGCCCCCCAATTGCAAAAGACAGTCTTTCGATAGTGTTACATCTTGCAGAGTGAAGCCGTACTTCTAAAATTAACACAACTATAGAACAAATTGTCTGCGATATATCAATCATCTCACAGGTCTATCACTTTCCATCGGCAACATGGCGGACATGTTACCCATGATCCTCTGTAAGGTAGATCTTCCGGTAAACAGATTACTTCCGGTCTCCTTGTAGGATGTGCTCGCAAAACGGAGAAGGAAATTCACTGTAGCAAGTTTTTCCTGAAAACATTAGTTTTAAACAGAGAGTCGATGAGACAAATAGAAATATCAACCGGAGGATTTCGTATGGTATAACACCAAAATCTCCAAGCTAAAATTACTCAAAATGTATCTTAGTTATCTTGTTATTTTAAGAGTAAAACGGTCTTGCAAAATAAGGCTATTACGATTTGTCTTCTTGGGGCGAGTTGTCTCACGGTTCGTCAGTCCGCTATTAGATCAACTGCCTTAGTAGTAAAACTGAAGGCTCTGTGTAAGATGCAATTCATGCAAGTCCCTGTTAAGCCACATCCAATTCAAAATAAGGTTTTCCTTGGAAAATTAACCGCCCTCCGCATCCGAGAAAACATGTTTCCATGTTACTATGCCTAACTTATCCATGTAAACACGAAAAAATTGGAACTTACGGACCACGAATGTTCAGTTTTTCCTTCAAAGCCACTTTTTTGTTGTTGATGTTGTTATCATTTTTCCCTCTTTTTTGTTTTATCATTTTTCAATTTTAGAAAGTACCAACCCATAGAAACCAATAGCTTCCAATTTCACGTTTTGGAACGTCGGCAACTTTAGTTAATTAATATATTTCTATGTGTATCTCGTGGGAATTGACTAACACTACAATTATCACTTGGTACAAAAAATGTTGCCTAGGAAAATGACGATAAAATAGAACGAAAAAACATAACATACAACATTATTCTCTTGATAGCGTACATTTCACAGTCGTTACAATTGTCGAATGTTTTTGGTTACTGCCTCTGACTATTTCATACGTGATTTGTGAATTATATTTATTTGGTCAATGTTCAATAACATCCCAGTTTAATTAGTTAACAAGTTAATCATAAATCAAACAAAGATCACTTTACATGAAATCTAATAACCTGTTTGTCGGTGTAAAGGAATGTCCAATAGTCGAGAAATCCCGAGGATTAGTGTGCGTTTGAAGTACGTATTTATACCGATCTTCGTTTTGCATGGCTTTTCTGTGTCTCTATGCTTTCTCGGTTTTATACTTCTCACCGAAAGGAACTGACGGTGGGCATTTTCAGTGTGAACCACTGAGGGATCAAACGTGCTTCGGATCACGTTTAGATTACAACTTCACAACGTTAGATTTAGTCACAGATTCTGATACTCAACTGGACATTGAGGAAAATTTAAAGAAATGGGAAGGATTGAAATTCTTATCCAAGTGCTGGTCGGTTCTTCAGCCACTTCTGTGTCAAGTTTACAAGCCGCAATGCTTCAATGATAACGTCACATTGCCCTGTAGGGAACAGTGTCTTGCTACTCGGAAGCCGTGTTCTGTGGTCGAACGCTACAAAGAACAATGGCCAGATTTTTTACAGTGTGAACGTTTCCCTGTTGGAAACTGCAAGGGCGGTTCGGTAAGTTGAATAGTATGACAGTACAGTAGAACATAACTTTTCCGATATCCAGCCCACGTTCGTATTAAAAAAAAATGCGGTTGATATTTTAGTTGATTGTCCAACACGCATAGACGACAGATGTCATGTATATAAAATTGTTTTACAATTTAATGTAACCCAGTCAACATAGGGGAGAATTATAATACGTGTCCCGTTTTGGAATTTGCCCCCGACGAGCCTCTTTTCCCTGAATTGTTACAACATTCTAGATTAAAAAGAAAATGTGTCATCTAAAAACAACTGAATCGACTTTCAATAAGAGCACACATGATGGATTGTTAGTGATAGTAGGCTTAAGGCTAGCACTAATCTGGGCTTCACCTAAAAATCATCAGCCATTAACGATAGCGAGGTAACAGAATCAAGGAGGGAAGACGAAATAAAGTGTTTACTATCGACAGTTCAGTGCATACGAGCATTCATCTGAGTACTTTCAACGTCCTCTCAAGGACTTAACTGAGCTGACCCATATTGCAACGGGGAAATTTGTAGCTTATTAGCTTTATAGCTGATTATTCAAAATCGATATACCACTTTAGATAAATGTTGTTCACCTTAACTTAATATACCTAAGAGTATCAATGTGAAGAACACTAACACTGAGATCTTGAAAGTTCTAGAATATCTTACAAACTGATATCTTGTAATTTAAATGAACAGCTAATGGAATCTGACTGACACTGTTGGTGGTCTGACCAACTGTCTATATGTCTTGTGTCCAAGGTCAATTGCTCTTTCAATGGCCTGAGGAAACACATTACAAATTCTATTAAGAAAACACAAAGATATTACTCCAGGGTGAGAAGATAAATGGATTTTGTGTTTAAGAGGGAAAAACAATATCTCATAAGAGAGAGCACAGCGAATGAGAGAGATATTATTCATGCCAGGGGATAATAAAATTCATATTTTTAAGCTAACATGTAATTTTCTTTTTATTGCTTGGTAAAGATTGAAAAGCTGCCTTTAATACAAATACTGGGTATTAATAGAAACAAATACCAGTGCCGAAATTAAAAAAGGTTCACATATAACACTGTAGTTTAGGCCAAAATACATGTGAACTGGTTTTATAGGCTTAGTGAAAATTTGGTTTCTGACCCTGATGTTCTGACTCTGACTCTGACTAAAGCATTCCTTATCCTGGTTCTTAGGGTATCAGGTAAGTGGCAGCAGGAGATGTGCTGGAGCTCAGTACAAACTTCTGTGCGGCCCACCATTACTCTACAAAAGATAGCCTGTTCCTGACTCCCAGTCAGTGGAGATGGGGAAGGATCTGGTAAAGGGGTAATTGGTGATTGTAGTTGTCTTTTTTCGTTGCCCAACCCCTTGCATTCATTCTGAGTCTGCCTTTTAGCACATTTACATGAAGCAAGAACCACTCAAAGGCCAAGTAAAGGAGTCTGCCCCATTGGAATTATCCAATGAACCTAAACTCCAAAATTGAATCAAGATTGTAAATAATATAAAAAAGAAAGAGATACTTAAATTGCAGTTAACACTGTTCATTATTTATATCTATCAGGTAACTGAACTTCAGCTAAATGAGTCAGCTTGCAAGAGGCCCTTAGTGGCAACAAAACACGAGTCCAGTTGGTATGAGGGAATTGAGGGGTGTGGTATCCAATGTGAAAACCCTATATTTACCACTGAAGAGCACACAAGAATTCACAGATTCGTGGGAGCATTTGGAAGTTTGTCATTTACATGCAGCCTTTTCACAATGGTACCTTAGTTCTTATCTATTTTCTTGAATTTTGTTCTTTTAAATTCATGCAAGTTTCCCAGTTAATTACAACCGTACATCAATCTCCCCTATTCCACAGATTACATTTCTCATTGGCTGGAAGTCACAGAATCGATATCCATCAGTTATTCTCTTTTATATGAACACTTGCTTCTGTGCAGCATCTATGGGTTTTCTCATCCAATTTGCTGATGGGGCCAGAAACCGCACAGTATGTCGGGAGGATGATACTATGAGGCTTCAGGAACCAGGGTAACTCTTTACATTGTGATAAGGTGGTAAGATTTCATAACTGAGTCGGAGATCAGACAAAGGGTGAAGTCTGTGGTTGAGCCTAATAGGCCCATCCAGCTGGAATTTATCCCACTTTCTTTTGCTTGGAACAATAAGGAGTATCGCTATGTTCTTAGGATGGGATGCTTGTCTATTATATAGGAGGGCCATGCAGGAAAATATTAAGGTCTAGGTCATGACATATTGCAGCAAGATTCACTCTGATATTATTGGACAGTAAGATCTTTAATTGACACCAAGTACCCTATTATTGTTCACAACCTTGTATGAATTCTCTAACAATTGAAAACATCACAGTAAAGTTTTAAAATTGCTTCAACAAACAATACTTTTTTTTTTTTTAATTTTTTTCCAGCGAGAATGACTGTTTCCTGTGCATTCTAACCTTTGTTCTTGTGTACTACTTTTCATTGGTGGGAGCTCTGTGGTTTGTCATCTTGGCATTTTCCTGGTCCATCTGTTTTAAGTCTCTGGGAAGCACCAGAGATAACTTTGCTGGAAAAGTGGTTTATTTTCATGCAATAGCTTGGTTAATTCCTCTTACTTTGGCAATTGGTACTCTTGCTATGAAACAGGTAACAATCTGGCAGACAAAATGTTAGAAATGACATTGCTGATAAGGCTTGGCTGAAAAAAATGTCTTCAAGAATAATTTGATTAATAATTAATTGATTTGAAAAATAAAGAAATGACATTCAAGCATCCTAGTCTCTCGACCCTCGATTCACAGACTGGGAGTGGAGCAAAATCTCATCAAAATTTTAAAATTGCAGTCAAAACCAGCAATGTTACTGTGAGGCTGTAACAAATAAATCACTTTAACTTAAAAGTTAATTTTCCAAGTCTGATACTGTAAGAACTCGTATGATTTATGAATCTTAAAATGCAATTTTGAAATTGGGTAGGAATCAGAGAGATATCACATACTGGTCAAGTGTTCTTTTTTTTTCTTGACAATACATTTTTTGAACAAATGTTTTAAGCATATGTTTGGTTACTTTTAATAGCAAGTAATTTCTTGTTGCATTGAAATTGAAGGTTGATGCAAACTCTTTGAGTGGAATCTGTTTTGTTGGTTACAAGAATCCCAATATGAGAGCCATCTTCCTATTGGTGCCATTAGGTCTTGATCTGCTCATAGGAGGGAGCTTTTTAACACAAGGTTGGTCATCAATTCACTGACTCAAAGTATGTGATATTGTGATATCAAGCATGGCCTACTGGTCTAACCTCTCCTTGTATTTACTCTTGTTATGGTCACATATCTTGTAACTTTTGTACCATACACCCACTGTGTTCCACTTCTTAGCTCCCATAACTGTATTTATACCAATTTCATTTCTTGATCTTAGGTCTTGCAACTCTATGTAAGCTTCGCAGGGCAAATCCTAATTTTCTGAGCCACAGAGCTGCTCATAAAATCAAAGAAACTATCATGAGAGTTGGTGAGTGAAGGGTAATCTTATCACATAAGCACTTTCTCTGAAAACATTCCAATTCAAACTACATGATATTGCAAAGAACTACCAACAATAACCAAAACCTTTGTAATATGAATTTAAAAAAACTATACCAAGAACTTTCAGATCATCATCAATATTGGAGCAACTGCACACCTACTCCTCTCCTAGCCCAACATTAACCCTAAATTGTTATTAGATAATTGTTGTTGGGTTAGGGAAGGGGCAGGTGCACAGTTTCTCAGACATTGACATTGACATTGATCTAAACTTCCAACTCAAAATGTAACTTGGTTAATGAGGGTAGCAAAGAGGGAAAGGGGGGGGGGGAGGGGAAGGGGAAGGGGATCCTAATCAGGTATCTCTCATGTAACCCTTTGCTACCCTACCCTTGTTGGTCTTTCCTTTGATTAGTATTCTTTGATTCCTGCTGATTTATGTAACCCTTAGCTTAAGCCATGTTAAATTGATAAAACTTATGTTATGGTAAAACTCCACAGGTGTATTTTCTTTTATTTCATTTTTGACGGTATTTACAACCTTTGCCTGCCATGTGTATGAATATCACAACCAAAAAATTTGGGAGGAGAGCTACAGAGATTTTGTAAGGTAAGTATTAGCACCTAGTTCTACTGATTTTTAGGGAGGTGATTTTAAACTTTGATAAATGTTTCTGTTCTGTAGAAAGTTAATTGGTGCTCTGGTAATCAACTATGTGTGTTTCAAGAACTGTCACAGTGTCTTTTTTTGGTTATTTTGTTTTAATTTGTTAACTTTCATTCTCCCTCTTTTTTTTTCTTCTCATTTTACTAAATTTTGTAATAAAACCAAGTACAATAAAAGTCAGACTGATCTGGCAAATTAAAAAATATTTTAAAAAAATTTCCAGAAACAGTCATTGTACATCTAACCACATAAGGTGATATTTCACATTAGTTGGGTTTATGTCCCTGAAGCATGGCAAATTTGGCTCATAGTTCTACTCTTGAAATGTGTTGCAAGAGTATTGAATGACATTCCACTTCTTAAAACTTCTAATTCTGCCTTAAAAAGCTCAAGTGCATTAAGTAAATTTCTGTAATTATTTTCAATAAATTTATAAGGAAGTAATGCTTTTTTTGAAAAATGAATAAATCAACCCTTTAAATCCCATGAGTGACCAAGACATAATCTCTCCTTACAATATCAACACAATATCAACCAGATAAGGGATGAGGATAAAGAAAAAATATCAATTTGGGGATAATTAGGTGATCTAATGCTAAATTCTCTGAACTAACATTATAATTGTATGGTTGACAGTAAGGAGAATTATGAATTTGATTTGGGAGTTAAAAGGTTGAGAAAAAAAAAAAACTGCCTTTATGTGATATCTAGACACAAGTGTATGGTCACCTAAACTAAAAATTTATGATATCAGACTAGTTGAATATGATGAAGGTAACCATATTTGCAAACTATTTTATTTCTTCCAAGATGCATTGCAGAGAAGGTGGCACGTGGGCAAACATGGAAAGCAACATGTTCTGTGGGTACACGTCCTGATCTCAGCATCATTGAACTGGAATTAGCCTCCCTCTTTGGCACAGGAATTGCCATGAGTAGTTGGACTTGGACATCAAATACATTACAGACCTGGCAGAAATTGTGGCGCAGGTAATATAGGATGTTTGCTGCACATCAGGGATGGGAGAATTCTCCAATGATTGCACTCAATTCAAATCTCACACTGAATTTTGATGAATTGAGTAGCCAGTATATAGCTGTGGTTTTTTTGGTGCTTTTTCTGATTACACTTACATGTTCATTTGGTAACAGTTAAATTGCACCAACGACTGATTTGTTTCACCCCAACTCTTTCAGAATTACACGGAAAAATAGGCATCCAGAATTAAGTCACTACAAAATAATTAGAAGGATGAAAAAGAACAGAGTAGCGTAAGTACAGACTAAATTGTTAGTATTTCTTGTTCCAGATTGAAAGACCAAAATGTGATAAAAAAATTAACCATTTA